GTTTTAGGCTAGTGCTGTGCCCCAAAATGACCTAACACTGCTTTTTAAATAAATAAAATAAATTATAATAATGTCCTGCCCTGCGATGGACTGGCAACCTGTCCAGGGTGTATCCTGCCTTCTGCCCGATGACAGCTGGGATAGGCTCCAGCAGCCCACCATGACCCAGAAGGATAAGCGGTTTAGATGATGTGTGTGCACGTGTGTGTGTAATAATGTCCCATGTGATAAATACATTTGTTTTCAATCATCTCCCACTCAGTTTATGCTTAAATCTTTAGCATGTAGCTTTCCTTACTATGCCAACAGTCTGATTGGTCACCACTCAGATCGTTTGCAAAAAGGTTATCCAGAATGAGATGTGTCAGTTATATGTATGTTGTCATCCTCATCACATTACAGCATGACATTTTCTATTTTAAGTAAATTACCCAGAAAATGTAAATGGAAAAAATTAATTTTGCATAATGATACAGCGTCGCACACCCACGGTTACATTCCCCACACTAACTGTAACTGTAACACAACCCACAACAACCGACTGACTCCACCTCTTTATAGACCATCAAAGCTGTACTACTGTACTACATGGTTAGTACCTCACTTTTCTGTTATGTTCACTGTTTTTTGTACTTTCTCATATGTGATGTCCTTTTTTTTGTTTTTTTTTAATGTATTTATTTACATTTTTCACACAATTTCATGTTGTAACATTTCATGATCGCAAATTATATATTCAATCATATATTATTCATGTTACATCACATGCAATCATAATATTCACATATTCACACAGTAACAAAAGTAATTACATACTGTTCACATTTTGTTACCTGTGATCACATACTATTCACAGAGACCTGTGCAATTCCGTATTATTCACATTGTCACATGATCATATTACTCACAATGGCACATGTAATTAGTCAAATCTTGTCACGTGATCACAAATTATTTATATGCCACACGGTCACATATTCATACGGACACATCACATGTAATCACATACTATCCACATGCCACATGTAATCACACAATACACGCATTATGGCATGTGATCACATCCACATCAAACCACATGTAATTATTGTTTTCACGTTATGTTGCCTGTGATCACATGCTATTCACATAATCACACATAGTTACATAGTATTCACATTCTGCCCCATGTAATCACATATTCATATATTGTCACAGGAATTTACATATTAGTTACATTATACAAAATTATCGCATATTAGTCACATCTTGTCAAATGTAATCACATTCACATAGAGACAAATGTAATTACATATTATTCACATCATGTTATCTGTAATCACATACTATTCACATATTGTCACAGTCTCATCACCTGTGATCACATATTATTCACATTGTCCCGTGATCACATTTTGTTCATGTGACATGTGATCACCTATTATTGACATTGTCACGTGATCACATTCACATTATGTCACATATAATCACAGTCACTTCATGTCAGATGTGAACATATTGTTCAGATAATGTGACATGTCTAT